AGCCGAAGGCAGACGCTCAACTGACTGAGCCACCCAGGTGCCCCAGAATCATTAATGTAATGTCAAGCCTGGTTTTGTGAGAAATATAACCATGACAAGACCTGGCTCCTGTTCTCATGGGGCTTATTGGATAGAGGGGGCAAAGGATATAAGGGCTGTTACCTAACCTATTTTTACAAATTGCTTCGGACTTTCAGAGGTGATGTAGTCTTGGGTTGTCTAGGAAATGTTGCAGAGAAAACATGACTTCAGCAATATCTCAAAGGAGGGGTTGTCCATGATTAGTCCAGCAAGAATGATCAAAGCATCTTTCTAGTGGAGGGAATAGTCAGAGCAGAGGTGAAGGAGTGGGAGAGTACCCTTTACATTTGTTCTGTGAATAGCCTGCCTGGAACACAAGCTTCATATAGGGGAAGAGTAGGGTGATGAGCTGGTAAAAGGTTAGAGCCAGAGAGTGGAGGAGGGCCTTGAATGCCCAGGCTAACACATTTGTACTTCACTGAGTAGGCAGTGGGAAAACACTATTTTTGAGCAGGAGAGGGCTGTAATCAAAGATGTTTTCTAAAGGCTCTACTGGAAGCAAGCAGTGGAATAGACTGGAAAGGGTAGAAAGTAGGAGGTAGAGGGCCAGGAAAGAGGATATTGCAACAGTTTAGGTAGATGGTGATATAAGCCCAGAAAAGAAGAGACAGATGGAGAGTCATCCTCTAATGGAAGCTGGCCCTCAGGAGGGCTGTCAGGGCCATTGCCTAATTCTAAGGTTCATGAGTATTTGTATTTCACATCTCCTGCAAACTGTCTTTCCATTCCTCTCTTCTCACCTTTCCCCTCCTTCTTGTCCGTCTGCCCTTTTTTCTCCTCTTTCCCCCTATTTTGTTTCCCATTACTTTCAGTGACGCTCAATAATCAGCCATGATTCTGAACATCATTTGGGAAGGAGAGGCACTGAGGGAGGCTCTGAGCAAGACAGAGGAATGAAGGAAAGCGGGTGAGAAAGAGAAGAAGGAAATGAAGAAGGGAGGGAGAGAAGAGAGAGAGGCAAGGAAGGGAGGGAGGGAGGAACACTTTTCTATATGGAGCATTTACTGTAGACCAAGCTGAGAGGATAGGGATACTGAGGCTTAGAGGGATCATAATACTTGTTGGAAGTCACACAGCTAATTGTAGTCCAAGTTTGACAAATTCCAGAATCCACGTCCTGTTCACCATGTTTCGCTGTTTCTCTTTTCTGCCTTCCTGAGCCCCTCAACTTGGTGTAATGTTTTTTTCCCCCTGAAACCCTAATATTAATTCACTGTGACCCTTTCTTTCACTTACTACAGTCTGTCTTCCATTGTAGTGACTTGTGTATGTGTCCAGCATGATGCATAAACTGTGTACAGCGGTGGAATTAATGATTGCTTTATCTTTGTTCCTAGATAGTAAGGAGTTGGTACTTGACTCACTGTAGGATCGACATGGACAGTCGCTGTCTTATAATTAGTATTTGCTCTATAACTCTTGAATAGATGTGAATATCCTTAGGCACCTCTATGGGCATCTCACACTGTTAGGTGTTACAGCTACCTTGGTAACCTCCAAGACCCAGGATTCATGTTGTAACTTCTAGCATAATCACTAAAATAATAGAAACAGGATGTCTAGCGTCTAAACTAGTAGAGGAAGACAAATGGAATGATAATCAATTTAAAAGTAGTCGAGACAAATGGACAACAAGCAGACAGGCATACGAAAAGATGCTCAACATCACTAATCATTAGGGAAATGCAAATCAAAATCACCATGAGATATCATCACATTCATTAGGATGGTTCCTGGTAAAAAACCAAACAAACAAAAAAAACCCCCCAGAAAATAAAGAAGTGTTGGAGAGAATGTGGAGAAATTGGACCCCTTGTGCACTGTTGGTGGGAATGTAAAATGGTGGAGCTGCTATGGAAAATAGTATAGCAGTTCATCAAAAAAATGTAAAATGGAATTTCCATATGATCCAGCAATTCCACTTCTGGGAATATATTCAAAAGAATTGAAAACAGGATCTCAAAGATATATTTGAACACCCATGTTTATAGAAGCATTATTTACAATACTCACACAATGGAATATTATTCAGCCTTAACAAGGAAGGAAATCCTGTCACATGGTACAACACAGGTGGAACTCGAAGACATGGTAAGTGAAATGAGCCAGTCACAAAAGAACAAATAGTGCATAATTCCACTTATATGAAGTACCCAGTGGAGTCAAGTTCACAGAGATGGAAAGTAGAATGGTGGTTGCCAGAGGCTGGGGGAAGGGGAAATGGTGAGTTCTTGTTTAATGGGTAAAGAAGTTTCAGTTTCACAAGCTGAAAAGAGTTCTGGAGGTGGATGGTTGTTGGTGATGGTTGCACAACACTGAATGTATTTCATGCTTCTAAATGTACACTTAAAAATAGTTAAAACGATTGATTGGATGTTATGTGCATTTTACCACAATTTTTAAAAACGTTCAAAAATACAGGCGAAACAAAACATTCACATCTGTTATTAGTGTTTTCACTTGAAGACACGTAGGTGCCATCATTGGTCCCTAATATCCCCACTCCACACCCCTCCAGCTCTTCCAGGATGACGGGAGCCTAGTAAGATGGGGGGTGGGCATTATTAGGAGGCTGTTCTCCTAGGTTCTCACCTCTGGGCCCTTACATATTCAGTGTTGGATATGCCCTCTATCCTCATCCCTGTCTAGAGACAGTGTCCTTTGAGATGAGGAGAGGAAGAGAGAAAAAAAATACTTAAAAACAAATCATTTTGTGGTCAAAAAATGAAAACATTTTATTGAAGAGAGCTTTCTAGAAGAGCCAGACAGACCCCACCCCTATAGGATCAACTTACACAGTTCTTCCTCTCTGGACCTCTTTTCCCTGCTCTCTAATCCCCATGTTTGCCCACTCTTTCTGGGATCCAGACTTGAAATGGTGGCTGTCACCGTGATGCCAAGTCTTTTAGGACATTCCTGTGCCCCTCATTTTCCTAATTGAGGGCTGGAACTTTTTAAAGGGGTCTGTCTGAGGAAGTTAAGATAAACGCAAAGGGAAACAAAAAGAAAATATGAAAGACTAGAAACAAGTTTACAGAAATATCGCTTCTTTTTAAAAGATTTTATTTATTTATTTATTCATTTGAGAGAGAGAGAGAGTACACCCGAGAGGGGGGAGGGTCAGAGGGAGAAGCAGACTCCCTGCTGAGCAGGGAGCCCAATGCGGGACTTGATCCCGGGACTCCAGGATCATGACCTGAGCCAAAGGCAGTCGCTTAAACAACTGAGCTACCCAGGCACCCCAAAATATCACTTTTTTTAAAAAAAAGATTTTATTTTATTTATTTGACAGAGAGAGACACAGCGAGAGAGGGAACACAAGCAGGGGGAGTGGGAGAGGGAGAAGCAGGCTTCCCGCAGAGCAGGGAGCCCGATGCGGGGCTCGATCCCAGGACCCTGGGATCATGACCTGAGCCGAAGGCAGACACTTAACGACTGAGCCACCCAGGCCCCCCTCACTTTTTTTTTTCTTAATACAGTTAGAGGTAGGCCATAGATAGACTAAGAGCTCAGCATGATTTGATTTCAATAAGGCTCAGTAAGTCATCACCTTTTGGAGGTCACGGACCCCGTTGGCAGTCTGGTGAAGCCCAGAGACCCCTTGTCCGAATAATCTTAAATACCCAAAATAAAATATACAGACTTACAAAGGAAATGCATCATATTACAATGCAATTCTCAAAACATTACAAAAAAAAGTGATATAGTGACCTGGGCTTCTTGGTTTATGCATTAAATAACCAGACCTAATGGTGGTTCCAATAACTACTGGAATTTTGAGGTAGTCATGAGCATAAATGAAATTTCGAGATGCCTGCAACAACTGGCATGTGAAAATGCAAACCTGTGATGTCTATTAGTGACAAATTCACTGGTACTGCTAACATTTCTGTGGTTAAGACCCTCTGCTCTAAGGGACCGTATAGCCTCCCATAGACTGGCATTGGCTGCCTTCAAGATGACATTTCTCCCCATCCAGTTTCTTTCTTTTTTTTTTTTTAAGATTTTATTTATTTATTTGAGAGAGAGAATGAGAGAGAGCATGAGAGGGAGGAGGGTCAGAGGGAGAAGCAGACTCCCTGCCGAGCAGGGAGCCCGATGCGGGACTCGATCCCGGGACTCCAGGATCATGACCTGAGCCGAAGGCAGTCGCTTAACCAACTGAGCCACCCAGGTGCCCCATCTCCCCATCCAGTTTCTAAGCTTGGTCCTTGTAATTGGCTGCTCATGAAGTACTAGTTTCTGGCTGGGAAAAGCTGAGCGCTCACAACCCATTTGCCCAGCACTGATAATTGCCATGCTTTGAGTCCACCGCACAATTGGCACTTTATTAAAATTCTAATGAGTCACTCAGGCAGCTCCCAGACTTCCCAGAATTTTCTCACCATAGTTTTATACTGGAAAATCACCTTCTGCCTCCCTAGTAACACCAACTCTGCAGGCCACCGCCACCTCTGCTCCCATCCCTGAATATGACTCTTTCCAGCTAGGTCGGAGAGAGATGGGCTAAGTGGGTGATAGGTATGAAGGAGGGCATTTTTGGGGATTAGCCCTGGGTGTCATATGTAAGTGACGAATCACTAAATTCTACTCCTGAAACTAATATTACACTATGTGCTAACTAACTGGAATTTAAATAAAGACCTGAAATAAAAAAAGAACGGGCAGTCCTGAGAAGGCTGCGGTGATCTTTAAACCAGAACAACCACAGCTTCACTCATGGCCTTCAGGCCCCTCAGCTGGAAAGAGAGAAATCTAATGAACTCAACAGTAGCCGTCTCTCTGCGTGGGGAGGCACAGTCCTTCCCAGAGAGAGGGGACCGGCCAAATAAGCTCTTTGGAGCCTTCCTCATCTGGGGGTTCCTGGTCTTTTTCTTGGCCTGTTCCCATGTGCTCTCCAGCCCCTGGGATTCACTCACCTAAAAATACGTAGACTGGGAGCCACTGCAAGACAGACAGGGTTTGGAGGCATTCCCGAAGATCTAGTCTGGAGAGGGAGGCCATGGCCGTGGTGTTCTTCTGCTGTGGCAAGAAGCCCAAACAGAAGGCCTGCACCTCTAAAGCTGAGCTGATTATAAGGTGCTTCGCTCTAGTCTCTTATCACGGAGCCCCTTTAGCTGTTGAAGATTTGAGGTTTGACCTCACCTTTACTCCAGTCTTCCCTTTTGTCAGCCCTGACCCCGCCCCAAGCTTCCTACACATACCAGGTTTCAGATCACCCCATCTAATCTCTCTAATATCGCTCTAACATCTAGCCTTTCTTCACGTGTGTTCCATTATAACAAGGCAGATCTGGCCTTGGGGAGTTTCTGGCGGTGTGTGGGGAAGTCCCTGATAAATGAGCGCAGGAAAAGAGACCATTCTCTCAGAGACCTCCAAGAGACCTCCAAGAGGATCTCTGAAAAGCAACCTACTTCCCTGCTTAAGGAGGGAGACCTGGTGATGATACTTGTTTCTGCCCTAGATGCTGATCTTTGGCTCCTGTCTTCTGCGGAGACCTACCCAGTCAACCTGGGCCTTTTTCTGCACAGATAGCGAGACTTCTCAGATCCGTCCTGGCGCCTCTATTCCCAGGGGCTCTGTGTCAGCAGCCAGATACCATATGATAGAGCGGGAGGAACATTTCACAGAGCGCAGACCTGGGTTCCAGGCCCGCCTCCACCATGTTATTCCTGTGACGTCTTCGCAAATTGCTCTCTCTCTCTCTAGATCTCAGTTTGAGCATTCGTCGTGGGAAGGCAGTGTAGTGGTTAGGGACATGGATTTGAGAGCCGGATAGCTGGGGTGCAAATCTCGGCTCTGCCGCTTACAAGTTGGTGAACTTCTGTGCCTCAGTTTCCCCATCTGTAAAACAGGGATAGTAATAGTAGCTTTTACTACTAATAGTAGTAATAGGGCTTTTCTGAGGATTAGATGAGTGAATGAGTGGAAAGTGCGTAGCATAGTGCCTGGCACACAATAGGCACCGTGTTAGTGTTTCCTGTTATTATTCGTTGAGTTGAGTTAATGCCTATTGAACATCTACTATGTTTCAGGCTAAGAGGCTGCTTCTACGCACTGCCTTTACAAAATTAAAGACCGTCCCCAGGTCCCAAGTCCTCTGGATTTATTATTTTTTTTCTGTAACTGTCTACTGAGTGACTACTGTTTGCCAGGCACTGCCGTAGGTGCTGAAGATTTGGCGGGGAAGAAGATGGAGATGATTTCTGCCTTCACTGAACTTATAGTCCAGTGGAGGAGATAGACATTAAGCAAAAGAAAATCACAGAAATGTCTATGCACTTGAATGTGTCATAAGTGTCTTAAAGGAAAAGGCCAGGATTCTCAGCGTAAGGTCTTGAATATAGAAGGTGCTCAAAAAAATCTTTTGAATGTAATCAAAAAGGTTGCTAGGAAAATCAAATACAAAAGCGGTATCAAGTATCCTACAAGTGGGAAGAAACATTGATTCCTTAGCCTTTTCCAGGGAGATTAGCAGAATTCTGTCTTCCTCCCTAAATCCCACTGTGGTTCAGAGCTCCCTAATTAGACTGACTAATGGGATGTTTCAGAGTTGGGACGCCTGGGTGGCCTAGTCAGTTAGGCGTCTGCCTGCCTTCGGCTCAGGTCATGATCCCAGGGTCCTGGGATGGAGTCTCGCATGGAGCTCCTTGCTCAGCGGGGAGCCTGCTTCTCCCTCCCCCTCTGCCTGCCACTCCCCCTGCTTGTGCTCTCTCTCTCTCTTTCTGACAAATAAATAAATAAAATCTCAAAAAAAAAAAAAAGACTAACATGTTTCAGAGTTAAGCTTAGGGAACTTTCTTGGTATGCTGCTGGGGTGTGCTTTCATTCCCCAATGTACCCTAGATGGCCACCTAGCATGTTACCCCATTTGTCCACTTCCTCTTTGCTTCTCTTCCCCTAGCTACCTGGGGTTCTCAAACTGCTTATTGGGGCTACTTGGCCACATACAGGGTGAGATGTATTGGAGCACATCTGCTCAGAATTTTCACGAGAAGAGGGAAAGAGGTAAGTGAGGCAGGCCTGGGTCTTCTAGGGGAAAGCGCAGATGTGGAGGGCTAGAGTCTCCAGCATGGACAAGATCCACAATGTTGAGAGCTCCACATCTCCTTATAGATCAGCTCTCTACCCTCCTTCACTTTCAGACGGGTAAATGGAAGAGGCCTAGAAAGGACTCAAGGTCACACAGGGCGCCAGAGGCAGGGCAAGGACAGATCGATTTCCATTTCTGTCTCCCTAACGTCCAGCTCAGGGCCTCAAGTACAGAGTAGATCCCCAAGGAAATGCTTGTGGGCCAAATGAAGGTGATCTGGTCTCCTGGTTCCTCAAGCACGATGGACAGGCAGGGCCGGGCCAAGCCCCTGACTGGCCACTCTCTTCTCCCCAAAGCAGAGAACATGCTTCAGCGCTGGCATTTTCTACAGCCACATGGACAAGTGTTACAGAGATAGCAGGGAATGTAGAACAAGCAGGAAGAAGCGAAGTAGGCCAGCAGACAAACCCTGAACAATCAGCACTCAGGATTTCCCAGTTACAGTTCATCCAGCCAACCAACAAAAGCCTAGTTGCCTTAGATTAAGCAGTAGCAAGAGAAAGGTGGCCGAGAAGCACAAAGGTGGGCCAATTTCATGCGTAAAACATTTAAGGCTGATGGGATTCTAACCCTCAAGAAACTCACAGTCCAGGGTGCGAGGTAGACGTAATCACCGACACCTGTGGGGTACTGTGAGGCACGCAGAAGAGAGAAGCACCCACCAGCCCGAGGAGATCAGAGAGGGCTTTCTGGAAGAGGGGATGCGGCGGGGAGGGGAGATGGACTAGGTGCAAAGGACACGAAGGGCTGTCCAGGAAAGATGGCAACCAGCTTATCAAACCAAAACGAATGGGGATCTGGGATAGGCCAGCAAGCTAAGGAGTTTCTAAGGAGCAACAGAAAAACAAAGAAAGGAGAGAAATGGAAGGAAAAGAAGATTGAGGAGACTGGGGAGCTCAGAAGGAATGGTGGAAGTTAGGGAAGCTCAGAGACAGAAGCAGCCCCAGGAATCTTCCTCCTGGATTTGAAGGTGCACCGTCAGCCTTCAGAATGACTCATTTCCAGAAAGCTTTGGATAGCTGAGGTTTTGCCATCACGTGTCATCTTCTGATCTTTCCCCTTCTGCCATACTCTTATTGGGCTAGGTATTGCGATTTCAGTTCGATTAAAAGTATTTATGGAGAGCCTACTTAATGCCAAGTCCTAGGCGAGGTACTATTAGAACGTACATGCATAGTCCTTCAGTCACCACATTTTTATTGAGGTCCTGCCATAAGCCTGGTATTGTTCTAGAGGTTGACAACTCTGTATGTGTGTGTGTGTGTGTGTGTGTGTGTGTGTGTGTGAGATGGGGCGGGGGGCGGGGGGCAGGCAGAGAAAAAAAGCAGCACACACAGCATCAACGCAGGGATGGGGGCCATCAGAGATTTACAAAGAACACAGAGGAGACAGCTAGTAGCTGTGTGACCTTGGACAAGATACTTCTCTGTGTCTCGGTTTCCTCATCTGGAAAAAGGGACTAATCATATTTACTCCCTGCGAGGATTAGTGGTAGCGTTAGTCAACTCCTTGTCAGTGTCTGACCCCCAGGAGCTGCTTGATAGGACTGGTATTCAGCTGTAGGAAGGTGGTATTTGCAATGGGCTCCAGCGGGCAAAGAAGGAGGGAATATGATCCCCCCCCTCCCGTGGTGCCCTCCATGAGAGGAGATGGGAGGTTTGCTCCGGCACCAGTGACTGGAGCCTCGGGTTCATGGATGGGAGTAGAAGGACAGAAGGCTGGCAATTGTAAGTGGGATGTTTTTCTCACAAACCTCTTCATGCCCGTAGGTCAGGGGGTCTAGAGTCTAGTGAAAGTAGACCCGGCCGGATGGTTCTGAGGAGGAGCCTGATGAGGAGGGGGAGGGGAGGGTGGAACGGCACGGGTATTTCAAAATCCCATGGGAGTCACTGGATCACTTCTCAGGGTAGGCAGGTCCTGGGGGACAGTGGCATCTGGGGCCTTGGTTCAGGCTAAGGTGACCAACCATGTCTGTTTGCCAGAGACTGAGGACATGGAATGTTCAATGCTAAAACCGGGACAGTTTGTCCCCTAGTTCAGGTGACTGTCACTGTCTCCTAGACTTCAGCAGGCTGCTCCCCGCAGATCTCCCTCCTTTCTGGTCTCCACGCCACAGCTAGAGGATTGCTGTCGAACACAGCACTTTGCATCCGCCCTGGTTCAAACCCTCCCAACGCTCCCGAGGTCTCTGCGAGCAAGTTCAAACCCCAGAGCCTGGCATCCAGAGCCCTTTCTACACTGGTTTCTGCCTTCCTTGAGAGTCTCGTTTCCCATCGATTTCACACCCTGGTAGATAAAGCCTCCTTCCCCAAACAGGAAGTGCCCCTTCCTCTTCTGGGTCTTGGCCCCTGGTTGTCTCTGAGCAGCCTGACTCACTCCTACCCTTGCTCTCTCTACCCTGCTCTCCCCTCTCGGTTCCCAAGGTACATTATGCTACTTTTGGGAGAGCGCATATCAGGGGTTAGTTTGGGATCGTAGACCCCACTTCTACACCGAGTTTCTTTCTTTCTTTTTTTTAAAGATTTTATTTATTTATTTGAGAGAGAGAGAGAAAGCAAGAGAGCCTGAGCCGAGGGGGAGGGGCAGCGGGAGAGGGAGAAGCAGGCTCCCCACCGAGCAGGGAGCCCAACGCGGGGCTCGGTTCCGGGACCCTGAGATCATGACCTGAGCTGAAGGCAGACGCTTAACCGACTGAGCCACCCAGGCGCCCCTACACCCAGTTTCTTTTTTTTTTTTTTTAAGATTTTATTTTACTTATTTGACAGAGAGAGACATAGTGAGAGCAGAAACACAAGCAGGGGGAGTAGGAGAAGGAGAAGCAGGCTTCCCGCGGAGCAGGGAGCCCGATGTGGGACTCGATCCCAGGACCTTGGGATCATGACCTGAGCCGAAGGCAGACGCTTAACGACTGAGCCACCCAGGCGCCCTACACCCAGTTTCTACTGTAATGCTTGGTAAGCTTTTGGTATATTTATTTTGAATAGTCAGTATATTCCTGTGATTCAAAATTCAAAAGGGACTATAAGGAATTCAGTGAAAAGTCTCCTTCCCACTCCTGGCCTCTAAGCACCCCCACACTTTTCTCCCTCTAGGGATCTTTCTCAAGTGCACACAGAAAATAAGGTAATTTCCTTTGTTAAATGAATACAGGAACAAACAGGGAAAACCTGGAAACAATACGAATGCTCACAATCAGGAGCTGGGTAAGTAAGCTCTTATATAGCAATATTTTAGACAAATTTGCCGTCATTCAAAGTCATTAAAATTAGGGGCGCTTGGGTGGCGCAGTCGGTTAAGCATCCGACTCTTGGTTTTGGCTCGGGTCGTGGTCTCAGGGATCCTGGGATTGAGCCCCCAGACTCCGTGCTCAGCGCAGAGCTGCCGGAAATTCTCTCTCTCCCTCTGATTCCCCACCCCCCAGCCCCATGCTTGCTCTCTCTCAAATAAATAAATAAAATCTTTTTAAAAATGTCATTAAAATTATTGTAAGGCAGACTCTGTAGTATACGATATGCTAAGCTGTAAAAGCAGACCTCTCCACTGAATGCACTTTGTAAAAATGTGGTATCTTCAGTGATAGGATGAAAGGATGTCTGAGAGAGAAATGATTGCTGTTTTAAGGTGAAGAGATTCTGGGTTGTCTTTTATGTAAAGTTGTTTGAATATGAAAAGAGAGAGGCCGGATTGTTGTGAATCTGCCTGATGAAGAAGTGTGATTCATGATGGGACTCATTCACTCAGTAATTCATTCCACAGACACTGAATGCATGCTTTGTCAGGAGGAAAGAGCTAGAAACAATGCGGAGCTTCTCTGGATAAGCACTAAGCAGGCTCTGGGGACCTAAGCAGCTCTGAGGGAGCGAGAGGGGTGGGGAGTGCGATGAGTTCATTTCAAGGCTGTTGAATTTGAGTTATGTGTGTTCCTCAAGGGGAGCTGGGTAGTGGATGGTAGGATCTAGGTCTGGGAGCTGAGCAGAAAGGTCGGGGCCAGCGCTAGCCACTGGGGAAGCCACAGGTGTGTGGAGCTCACCCAGGGAGGAGGTGGACAGGTAGGGAGAAGACAGGTTACATAAAGCTGGTGAGAGGTCATTCTGCAAATCTCTCCATCTCTCTGAGCCAGGGCCAAGGGCAGCAGGAGAGCGGAGGTGGCATCTGCTCCTCAGTGTGCAATGGCCTCAGAGTCCAGGCAGAAACCCTTCCTCCCAGCACTTGGCCTCCAAGCCTCATGCATTCATGGCCTGGGTCTGGTTTTAGTTGTCTAGGAAGGCCTTGGACCAAGGGGGGCTTCGACTGGCTTAAAAATATGTAGGGGCCCTTAAGTAAGAGGCTGGGGTAGAGGGTTTAAAAGATTAAAGATCAGGGGCACCCGGGTGGCTTGATTTCATCTCAGGTCATGATCTTGGGGTCTCGAGATCAAGCCCTGTGTCGGGCTCCGTGCTGAGCGTGGAGCCTGCTGGAGGTTCTCTCTCCCTCT